ACTTGCCAGACATAAGAAAAATGTGTTCATTATTTAGAATGTGTATAGAGAGGTCTTAGGAATAATACTCTTTTCTGAAAAGCAGCAATACGGCTCAGTATCAGAGGTCTCTTTTATCTGAAGGTATCAAAGTACTTCTTTTCAAACAAAGTTTTCTTACATTCACATATACAAGAAGGCTTACAAATGGGTAGCAAAAAGGAATATATTTAGGCACTTCTTCAAACTAGGAGCAATGCCAGAGGAAGACGGAACTCTGTCCAGTCTTTGCTGAGGGTGCCCTGTCCCCTGTCCCCCCTCTCAGTAACTAATTCTGATGTGGGAAAGTCCCACCTGCTCTTGACTGTTGACTCTGCTGGTGGGTTCCCACCAACTAGGGATTCTAAGTCAGAGGAATGACACTCACTCCTTTGTTCAGGTGCTTTCTCACAAGCCACTATTCATAAGGGTGGCAAATGATGCTTTCTTATCAGCAGCTATGGGATGCTAGTAGATTTCAGTCTTTGAGAGATTTTTGGATTGAATCACCTGACTCTACTGAAATCAGAGAGAGCACCTGCTCAGGTCCCAGATAGTAGCTAGTAACTGTCACTTGCCCAGACTTAATTAAGAGTTGTACCTGCTGGGGCACCTGGGTGGCTCAGTGGGATAAAGCCTCTGCCTTCAGCTCAGGTCATGATCTCAGGGTCCTGGGATCGAGCCCTGCATCAGACTCTCTGCTCAGCAGGGAGACTGCTTCCCCCTCTCTCTCTGCCTGCCTCTGCTTACTTGTGCTCTCTCTCTCTGTCAAATAAATAAGTAAAATATTAAAAAAAAAAGATTAAAAAAAAAGAGTTGTACCTGCCAAAGTACCTGAGTAGCTATTTCTACTTACCCAGCACCTGAACTGGGGGCTCACCTGTGGCTTTGGAAGGAGCCGTCATTGGGACTAACATTTCCTGAGCGCTCATAGGTGCCAGGCACTGGGATCCACATAATTATCTCACTTAATATCGCATTCAGCATATCCAGTAGGTACTGTTATTAGCTCAGATGACTGATGAGAAAACAGAGGCTCCAAGATGTCAAGTAACTTGGCCATTATCTCATGGTTAGTAAGCAGGTGAGCCCAGCTACATTCAGTAGGATGAGCTACAAAATTTGTAGGGCCCAGTGTAAAATGAAAATGTGGTCCCTTGTTAAAAAATGATTAAGAAGATCAAAATGGCAACAGCAGATCAATAAGCCAAGCATGGGGCCCTTCTTAGTGTTGATGCACAGATTTCCCCCCAGAGAGCCAGGTTAGCACCCCTAGACATTCTGGTTCTAGAATGAACACTCTTCACCAAATAACAGGGTTGAACGGCACATGGTTTGGCAAAGGTCTGACTTTGGCATATAAATAGCAAATGGAAGTGTTACACAAGAGCAACTCAGGCAGCCTTCTTTAAACACCAGCTTCCTCTTCAAAAAGGGCCAGGAGTTGTTCTCTGGCTAGAGGTAAACAGAGCCAAGGCCTGCCTTGGTCCTTCTCATTCATAACAGATGGTCCTTGCTGGGTTGGTTCTCTCCTACCAAAAGTCACGGTTTGGACTTCTTTTGCTTTCCTTAAAGCCAGTTCTAATGTTCTGGGCTAGTTCTCTCTGGCCAGACCCCTCTCTTGCCTCCATGTCATCCCATCTCATTTCCCAGATGTTGCTGCTCCTAGCTGTGCCGAGAGTTTCCCACACCCCAAATGCAACAGTGTCCCATCCAACTCACTGAGCCAGCCCCATTGGCGGTACAGACATTCTGTCCCTTGTCCTGGCACTGTGGGAGAACGGTGCAGTTTCTGGAGGGAAAACAGGAACCAACCATCTGTTTTCTCCTGGGGCTTAGTTTTCCCGGAAACATATTGCTCAGAAATGATTTCTTCCTACAGAAAACCCCGGGCAAGATGATCATGGCTAATACTTACTGAGTGCTTACTTTGTGTCATGATTTACATGTATTTAATCTCCACAGGTAACTTATACTTCACATGTAACCCATTTCATCCTTTAAAAAAAAAAAGATTTATTTATTTTTTATAGGGGGAGGGGTAGAGAGAGAGAGAGAATCCCAAGCAGACTCCCTGCTGAGTGCAGAGCCTGCCATCGGGTTTGATCCTGTGACCCTGAGATCATGACGTGAGCTGAAACCAGGAGTCAGTGCCTAACTGACTGAGCCACCCAGGTGCCCCTCTTTTCATCTTTAATAGCTATGCTGTCAATAGCCCTATGTCAGAGGAGGAAAGTGAGGCAGAAAGGTTAAGGAAATCCTCAAGATCCGAGAATCAGGAAGTGGGAGTGTCAGAACAGGAAGCTCTCCAGTCTCCAGTCTCCAGTCTATATAACCGTCACCCTTCTTTCAAGGTTCTGCCAAGGATCCTGGGTAGAGGAGCAGAGCAGTCTTATAGGCTCAGTAAAGTAGAGCCAAATATCCAGGAATGTGGCCTTCCCATTGTCTCAGAGCAAAGCCCCAAAGTGTTAAAAGTCTGGAACAACAGGGTTGAGGGTTCCTCTGGGACAGCTTTCCCATATAGTTCCTCAGAGACAAGACACACACACACACACACACACACACATGCACACACACGTACACACACATACACAGACACAATGCACAAACACAGTGTTACTTAAGAATGGCAATTACCTTATGCCCAGTATGAAGTGATGGCCTTAAATATATTTAAAAACTTATTTGAGTATTAGTGGATTTTACTTACTGGTGTCCTTACCCAAGATCTTTGTTATAACTTTAACATAGTGTTCTAGTCTGTGAAACACTGAGTAAATAAGGAGTCAATTGTAGTAATAATACTATGAGTAATACTACTACTTTGCATTCATATGGTATTTTACAGCTCACTGATTTTTCCACATGATCCTCAAACCCCTCTGACATCGGGGTTTGTGGAGGTTGGGAGACTCTGGGGACAACCGGGTGCAGTGAGGTAGAATTGGATCCGGACCCTCTGTCTTCTCTCTCCTTTGTCATGCTCCTTGGACCCTACCAGCAAGTTCCCTGAATACAGTCCTGACCCAGGCAGGGGGCCGGTCCTCACCAAAAGCTGGGAGAAGTGTGCGCGCTTCTTGTCGTGCTTAACGAGATGCCTATTCAGCAGGCTCGAAGCTTCAGTTTGTTTGCCTGTGCTGTGTCTACGCATGTTTCCTTCTGAGATATTGAGAGGGAAGAAAACCTACCTTCCCTGACAGCGATCAGGCAGCTCGGAGACAGTCAAGCAAGAGTTAGAGATGTTTCCGCAGGTCCCCATCGACCTGTGTGAAGGGAAGCTGTGTAGGCACATTTATTCCCTGGGCAACACTTAGAGAAATGGTTTTGTCCAAGTTCCTGAAAGCACCTGAAAAAAGTTCCAAGAGCCTCTTTTGCACAATTAAATGAAAACGGTGCTGAGTAAAAGGAACGCAAGAGGAGGAAGGCTTGCCTGAACACTCATCTGAGAAATGGAAACTGTAATTTAGATAATTTCATCATAAAAGGTTTGAATGATGCTGACAAGAAAATTGAAAAGGAAAATAGCCAGGTGACTCACCACCCAAAAGTAGACGGCAGCAGCGAGTTCCCGAGGCTTGTAGGAGATGCAGGACAGGCAGCATCAACATTGGCCTTGGCCATTGTGCCGTAAGCCTAACATGCTCGCAACCATGAACCCAGGAACTCACCTATCGCGTGGATTTGGAAACGGGCCCCACCTGAGTTACCCTAATAGGGGAGAACTGTTGGGTTACTCTCCAGATGGTAGTTAGCATAATACTGCAATATTCGTTGGCATGAAACTGAATATCGAGAAATTTAGATTCTCATCTCTCTATAACTCATGCCAATACCATAGCCTTTTCCCCTCAGTACTACTTCCCTTAGCCCCATTCACACAGAGGAAGCCCAGTGCTCACTATACAGAATTTACTTAAATAATTGCAGAATTCTTAATAATGGAGATGTTGGTGTTTTCAAGCAGTATTTGAAATACATATTATAGACATGGCTATAAAAAGATTCTTTTATATTCAAACATCCATTCCACCAATAAACATGTCTTTAGCGCCTGATAGCCCTTGATGAAAGAAGCGGGTGGGAGGAGAGGCAGGACCCAGACATGATGCAGAGTTCCCAGTGAAGGAAAAAAGAGTCAAGTAGAGCTAAACATCACCGTCAGTGCGGGAGGATGCACGGTCTTCCTTCGCTGCTCTGCTGTTTTCAGGCTTTTCAGGATGGGGCTATATGATCCCTGGGTCCTTTCTGCATTTGTGCTAGACCACATACCCTGCCTAATTCAGAGCAACCATCAGCCTAGAGAGCCCAATGTGGAAGACAGCCAGTCTGTCAAGTGGAGGGGAGGCTCGTGGGAAGAGACTAAAGGAGAAGCTCTTTTCCAATCTAGAAAGGGCAATGGTGAGCCCTCCTTGGGCCTTCACATCTCCCTGAACACATATGTCCAAGATATTTGGTGTTTCTGAAATGGAAGATACTGGTTTTCACCAGCAGTGCAATTCTAGGTGACTGTGAATTTCCTAAAATGTAATCTAATTAAACACATTAAGATCCAGGAAGGCTGGATCTCCTTAAAACTCTTTCCAGGGAGAGAAGGAAGAGAAGTAAAGGAACAATGTTATGAATGTTAGATTTTTTTTTTAATTGGTTTATTTATTTGACAGAGAGAGACACAGCGAGAGAGGGAACACAAGCAGGGGGAGTGGGAAAGGGAGAAGCAGGCTTCCCGCTGAGCAGGGAGCCTGATGCAGGGCTCGATGCCAGGATCCTGGGATCGTGACCTGAGCTGAAGGCAGACATTTAACCGACTGAGCCACCCAGGCATCTCCTGAAGGTTAGATTTTTGATGATGCTCCTCTCCCTGAAGCTTGTGCAGCGGGATTGCATAGAATTCCTTTAAGAAATCTGTGGATTCTCTGATTCAGCTCTTTCGTTTCTTGGCCACCTCACCACACTCTCTCTTTCTCTTTACTGTTTCTCACCAGGGTATGGGAATATTGCTCCAAGCACTGAAGGAGGCAAAATCTTTTGTATTTTATATGCCATCTTTGGAATTCCGCTCTTTGGTTTCTTATTGGCTGGAATTGGAGACCAACTTGGAACCATCTTTGGGAAGAGCATTGCAAGAGTGGAGAAGGTCTTTCGAGTGAGTACCGCGTCGATTTAAACCCTCACCTCTGCAATCCAACTGGCTTTTTAGTCTGATGGGATCTAGAACGAATGATTAGGGTGTTATCATATCATTGTCACTTTTTTAAAAAAATATTTTTTTATTTTTTTATTAACATAGAATGTGTTATTAGCCCCAGGGGTACAGGTCTGTGAATCACCAGGTTTACACACTTCCTAGCACATACCCTCCCCAATGTCCGTAACCCCACCACCCTCTCCCTCCCCCCTCCCCCCAGCAACCCTCAGTTTGTTTTGTGAGATTAGAGTCTCTTATGGTTTGTCTCCCTCCCGATCCCATCTTGTTTCATTTATTCTTTTCATTGTCACTTTTAATGGAAGAGTTTTATGTCATAATCGTATTTTCTGTTTTGGCCAGTGGTAGTCACAAGTACTTTGCCCAAACTCCCTTCTCTTTAGCAGTTTCCTTCTTTACAGTGGTATTTTGGATTCACAAGACAAGAGGGTTAAGTATAGGTGGTCCCAAATGAGGTTTTCTGAAGATGGGAGGCGTACTCAGTTCCATCTTAAAGAGGGAAGATAGGTTGCTAAGTGTATTGGCAATAAAGAAGTAAATCCATTTGTTTTGTTATTGGAAACTCTTCACTCCTTTTTATTTCTAGGTCTGGTATCTTTAGGCTGATCCTGGCTTCTAAGACCTCTTCCAGAAGCCTGCCTTTTCCAGATACTGCCGTCGTGCTTTGTATCTGTCTCTTCATGGCCCCACACTCTCTGTCCTCTCACTTCTGAGTGCTCTCTCAGCAGTAGCATGTACTAACTTATACTAAAGTGTTGATGATTGCCATTATCTTAGTGGGTTTTTTCTTCCTGGGAATACTTACCTTTAAACAAGGGACAAAACCTCAACTCAGGAATTTATTTACTAAAGATGGCATTCCTGGCCTCAGTGGTGTGTTTGTGGAGAAGATGCCATTGGCTTGGGCTTCTCAATGCCCTTTAACACTTATCCATATGATCTCACAGGAAACTTGTTTGGCTCAGGTGTAACATCATTTCTGCTCTCTTTTTCGTTACTGACCTAGTTCTCGAGTCTTTCAAACCTTCTTCAGGGAGTTGTTTCTGATGATGACTTAGTATTTAAAAGTGACTATTTAAGACCTTTTCGGAATCTAGCAATGATGGGTAAAGATAGATCAGTGGTGAGCTCTAACGTCGCACTTGTTTTTCTCTCAGAGACAAGAACACAACTTCTCTTCAGAAAAAGACAGGGGTGCTCCCCAGGTGAATGGTTTCAGGTTTGAGAGAGTGGAGGAATGGGGCAGGAGAACTAGCTTAGAGCTATCTTTAATGAGCTCAGTGATCCTGGGTGAGCGACCTCAGTTTACTCATCGGTGAGAAAGAGGAGGATAGAATTTGAATCTACTTTAGAAGGTTTTGGTGGTGATTGCATGGAATGATGTATGGAAGAGAGCTTGCGAGGGGCCAGACACAAAGAGTTCAGATCTGCTGTGTATCTGTGTCCCGAAAGAAGCTCTTATGAGCAGCCTAGCCACCCATTTGATTTCCTCTGAGGAGCTCAGCGGTGCATGGATATTCCTGGAATGTCCCACAACCTTTGCTCCCAGGTGCTGGCTGGCCAGCTGGCTCATTAGAGCATAGACTTGGGCTCAGTGGTCACCATTGAAACCGTCAAGGCTCAGCTTTTCTGCTTCTCAGATGTTCAGGTCTCCCTAAACCAGACATGGCAAGTCTCCATCTCCAAACACATCTCCAGGAGCTGTTTTGAGCTTCTCGGAGGTGCCCTGTTAGCCAGGGCCTCATAGCCCTCCAAGTTAGACAGGAGTCTGGTGGATAGAACACTCCGAACAAGTTTCAAATGGAGAAATGACTGACCCGGCATTTTTATTTTTATGTAGCTTCTCTAGATCTAAGTTTCCTTATTTGTAGAAAGAAAGGATTGCACTAAAAGCTTTTGAAATTCCCCATTTAGAAAAAAAAAATTAGTTACTATATTCTAAATGAAGGAAGAGATTGCCATCATTGTGACCACATCTGCTACTGAATTTGGGGACTAGTTTCCCCTAATGAATTTCGAACTACAAGTAGAGAGTATAAGTCTCCTTCCCTTAAAGCTGCCTCTCAGATGGGTGGTTCGAAGGACTCTGGGACAGAGCCTTAAAAACCCTGCATTTCGTTTTTATGCTGATGGCACTCAGTTCCTTGCAGTGCCATCAAAGACTGGGAGCCTTTTAGGAAGGAAACCGCAGTGTGTTATGGAATTGGCAGACTGAGATGTATGCATTTGCAGAACATCGGAGGAGGGTGCTGTTGGAAGGGGTGACTGAGTTCCAGGAGGAGGAGAAGTGTGCTTCCTGAATACACAAACAACCCATCTGCACTTCGCTGGCTGCCTGTAGTTTTGGTGGAAAATCTCAAAGTGCTTTGCCATTCATTTAAATGACATCTCAAAGGCCAGCTACTCTTAGATGATTACTTGAAAACTGAAAATTTTAAAAATTTCATAAACTTCGTTGAAGTTGGAGGTTGTGGATTTTTAGTTCCTGTGGGGAAGATACATTTCCCCCCTCCCATCCATTTAAGGATTAAGTCTTTTTCTTCATCTGCTGTGTTTTTTTCTCAGCTATAGGGAAGAGACGATTTTTAGTGGAGTAAAGATAAAATATAAAATAAGCCTTCTGGGTGCCTGTGTTCTGAGGTGACATGATTTAGGTCCTTCTCCCAGGTCTGAGCCTCATTTTAAAGAGTTGCTGGAGGTTAATGTATTGTTTAGGAATGCTTTTAGCTGCAGAGTAATACAATACCCTCCTACTGGGGTTTATATCAGATGAATAAATAAAACCTTTTTCCCCTTCTTTTTTTTTTCTTCTGAAATCAGAAATAATTGAAAAATGGGGGAGTCAGATGAAATTTAAGAAGTCAGCTTTATTGCTGATAAGCTGATCGGAGGATATAGCTTTTTTTTTTTTTTAAGATTTTATTTATTCATTTAAGAGAGAAGGAGAACATAAGCGGAGGTACAGAGAGAGAGGGAGAAGCAGACTCCCTGCTGAGCAGGGAGCCCAACATGGGGCTACATCCCAGGACCTGGGGATCATGACCTGAGCCCAAGGCAGACCCTGAACAGACTGAGCTACCAGCTGTCCTATAGCTTTGGTTTTGATGCCAAAAAGACTTATTAACCACTTCACCCTGAATCAGAAGGACTGCCCTGCTGTATTAGTTTTCTCTGGATGTGTAACAGATTATCACAATTGCAGAAGCTTTAAACAACACCCATTTATCGTAACACAGTGCTGCAGGTCAGAAGTCCAGACGGGCTTGGCTGGGTGCTAGGCTCAGCAGAGCATGGGGCTGAAATGAAGGTATCGGCTGGGTTGGGCTCTGGATCTGGGGAAGAATCTGCTTTCACTCTTATTCAGATTTTGGCAAAAATCAGTTGCCAGTGGTCGTGGGACTGAGATTCCTGTGTCCTTGCTGGTTGTCAGGTGGAGGTCACCCATTCTCAGCTTCTAGGAGATATCTGAATTCCTTGGCACATGGCCCCTCCATCTTTAAAGCGAACATGGGATTCTTCTGGTGTTTTGTATCTCTCTGACTTCCCTTTGTCTCTCTGCCACCAACCTGAGAAAGTGCCCTGCTTTTAAGGCTCCTGTGATTTGATCAGGCTTATGTGGATAATTTTCCTATCTTAAGGTCAACCGTGCCATATGATATATCATAGTTATGGGAGTGGTAGCTCATCACAGCAGAGGTCCTGGGGATTAGGGTGGGATATTTTTATGGGCCATTTTAGAAATTCCATTTCTTCTGGTCATCGGCAGCCCAGGCCCCGTCAATGAGAGCAGGGTCAGCCCCAGTAACCTTGCTAAATCATAGAAAGAAAATCAAAGTATACCTCTATGTAGCAGATGGTTTCAGATGGGGGAAGAAGGGGACTGAGGTGAAGGAGCTCAGTCCCTTCCACCAAGGCCACCTGTAAGTCACTTGTCTGACTGAGCCACCAGAATGTTCCTTTGGCTGAAGTCCTTTCACGTGGAACATGAGTTCAGGAAGATAGACATTGCCCCAACACTGATTAACCATGAGTTAAAGTTCAACACTTACTTATCTTGCATAGCGAGAAGCCTGGAGGAAGGTTGTTTCTGGTTTGGTGCAGTGAGAAGTTGAGGATCGTGGTACCATTTCTGATGTGCAGACTTTTCCCCCTACACCACCAAGCAATTCTTTGATGCCAGCTGGTTGTCCTACAGTTCAACTGAATTCTGACTCTATCCACCTAGAGGTAACATCAGATCCTGTAGGTTAAGGGCTCAGTCCCAAGATGGCCTTTCACTTCAGATGCCAGGCATGAGTCCAGGTTGTTCCTTTTGCTTCTGACCACATGGCTGTCCATCACAGAGTCCCACAATCCCTTCCTTGGGTTCAATAAATCTGCTACAGTGGCTCACAGAACTCAGGAAACCAGTGTACTCACTAGATTACAAGTTTGTTCCAAAGGATTGTAAAGGATATAAGTCAACAGCCAGATGAGAACATGTGTAGAGAGTTTCTGAGTAAAGGAGCCTCTGTCCCTTTAGTAGCACATAGACACTTTCTGGTTCACCAGCCTGGGAGCTCCTAGAATTGCCTCCTTTTGGGTTTTTATGGAGGCTTCACTACCAAGGCATGATTGACTCAATCATTGGCCATTAGTGATTGATTCAACCTTCAGCCCCTTCCCACTCCTCAGAATCAGGGGGTGGGATTGAAAGTTTCAAATGTCTATTTCTGGTTGGTTCCACTGGCAACCAGCCCCCATCCCTAGGTGATCCAAAAGTCATGTCATTGATGTAACAAAAAACACCTTTGTCACTGTCATCACAGGAAATTCCAAGGGTTTTAGGACCTTTGTGCCAGTCATGGGAGGAAGACCAAATGTTTGTTTCCTGTTATGAATCACAACTCCACATGAGTTTACTCATGTTTTGTTCTCTCTTTCTGCTCTGCTGTCCTTGG